ACTTTGAGTTACCCCATTCAGTTCTTGTTCTTCTGACCTTCCAGTGTCTGAAGTAGCCTTCTTAAACCAGTGCCACTGCACTAGGAGATTGGCCACATTGAAAATCTCCAATGGCTCAGAAGTCCTAGCTGTCAAGTTAAAAGGAGGAAAAAAAAAAAAAAAAAAGAGAAAAAAGTGGGGGGGAAATCATTTCAAAGTGATTTTGTAGTGTCTGTGTGTGTGTGTCTGTGTTGGTGCTCTGGGATACTTGTTTTGAAGTACTTCTTGCAACAGAGGACTTCATGTAGCTGGTGTAATGTTAATTGTATGTACCACATACATCCTGAAAACATTAATAAAGGACTTGGAGGTTTTTGTACATGAGCAGTTTGCATACCTTTATACTAGTGTAACTATTCAACCTGAGAACTCAAAAACAAGTTAAAGCCTTGAAAGAAGCCTTTTGGGGAGAAGAAACAGAATGTTGGAAAGTAGTCAGCCTCTTGTGCTGTGGTGGGAAGGATAACGATTCATGTTTCAGCTCCTAAAGATGCAATATGAATTGCTCCCCATGCACCTGTGCATTTAACCTTAATTTTTTCTAAAGGTTGCCAAGTCAGTTCATTTTTAGCCTCTTCATCAGGAGACTTCAGTTTCATGAACTAATTCTGTTTTAAGATTACTTTTTTTCTTTCATCCAGCTATAGGGTTGTTATCTTGACTTTATTCAGAACTCTGTTCTTTCAGAAGTTAGATTATAAGAAACAGTATTTAATTTCTTATTTCTCATTTTTTAACTAGAGAAGTAGAATGTCCATTTTCACACTGTTGTGTTTTAACACATGCAAAAATCCCAGCTTGTTTCAGATTTGCCTGGAAGGCAGTCGCATTTTCGTATTAGCTTGATTTTACTTTTTAAAATAAAAACACATTAATTGTAAGATACAATTCCAGTATAATGATATTGTAACTTCAGTAATAGTAAAGTTATGATAATTGTTTGCCAATTTCCTTGGCTAGAAGAAAGAAAACCATCAAAATATCCCTACAGTTTTACAAGCCTGGAAGGAGCGTGTGCATATACATGTGTATGCTGAAATGCAAGAGACTGGCACAGCGCAAATTAAAATGCAAGAGGTAAGACATCAAAAGGTGGGAATCAAATAAACTGCTGCTTACTGTCATGTACTTCTTGTGCTCAGGAACAGAACATGCCCCACTGGTCAAGTATTTGTTTGATGTTGTCATGGTAACAAAACACTGTCACCGCCAACACTCCAAGGGTCATGAAGACCCTGCAAGAAGCAGGGCACCGTTGCCTTTTGTAGGGCTGAGAACTGTTTCACACTGTTGGCAAAGGGCTTTTGGATGAAATCCAAAAGCATCACCAGCAAAGGGTAAGGTATTTTGGGGAGAAAGGGAGGGAAGGATTCACAGTTTAAAACTTGCCTGTAATCCTGTCTTTAAGCTATTCTTATCTGATTCTTTGGAAAGATTCCTGTAGTAACCATAGTTTTCATAAGCTGGTATTCAAGGCTATCTTCTAGACTAAAAGGATTGTGTTATTCCATAACCTTAGAATTGTAATGTCAGCCTTGTCCTAGTGCTGCAGAAACCATATGGATTCTGTAGGAGAAAGTAAAAGCCACTGACATTCAACAGGATTTATCTAACTGATGTTTTCTCATCTCTTACTTCCTCTCTATGCTTAGATCAGGAATGGTGTACAGAAATTCCACTTCACAATCCTGAAGACTTACACCAGTTTACTTGTCTCTTGAGGCTGAATGTGTAGTGTGCTTATTCTGGGATCCGCAAAACCTGTTCTTTAGCGCTCTGAAGTGTTTTGCCTGTGTTCTCAGAAGGAAATGAGAAAGTGGTGGTGTGGTTTGCTGCAGGGTTCCTCTGCCACATAACTTTCTCTACACAGAGAACATCTCATATAGGTGGAACACCTTGATTTTTACAGTAATCCTCATTCCAGTGACTGCACTACTCAAAACAACCAGCTGTGAGAGAAGGCTCTCCCTGGAGAGCATATATTGGCCTCTATTTTTACAACATGTCCAAAAGCTGATGATGGAATAACTGTTTCTCTGCGGTATTTCTAATAGGGTTGTGTAGAATGGGTGCAGGGAAGGATCTGAGTGTCCTATGGGGGACGAGAAGCAGTTAGAAAAATTTAAAAAGTAGTTTTTATTCTGGTGTAATTGTGACACTCGGACACTCGGTATCTACTGCCAGAAACGTGTTTTACATCTCACGGTACATAAGGGCCCTGGCTGCCGAGCTGACTTTTTTATCACTGTCTTTGCAAACAAAACCCACTGCGGCAAAGGTGATCGCCAGCCTGCCTAAACCCTCTTTGCCCTCGCTCCCTGCCCGGCCGGATGAGGTACCCGCTGGAGGACCCCTGTCAGTACCTTCGTTCCCGTGAAACCCTCGGCGGAACAGGCCTCTGGGCCTCTCCCCTCAG